GGTTGAGGAAGCAGTTGCGAAGCAGACAGTTCTAATTGTGGCTGCTGCGTGTTATCAAAAGGAGAGAGCAGGAACATGCTGTGTGTGTGGTGTGTGGCAGGAAAGGCCTGAGTCTTTTCTGCTTCTGACACTCCCATCCCCTGCGTGCAGTTTGGGGCCAAGGCACATCTCAGCGGGATGGGAGGAGCAGGCACTTGTCTCTGTTCTGTGTGTCGATGTGACCCTCTCTGCTGCGTGGTTAGCAGTGCTGGGAGCTGCTGGGGAGATACATTGATCAGCAGCTGCATAAGTGTGGGGACCTGACCTCCTGCGTCTGCCTTTAGGGAAGCACAGTGTACCTTGAATAACAAGGTTCCCTAAGTCCCTTCCTGTTATGCCTGGCATACAGTGTACAATGGGCTGTGAACTTAAACTGTCCAAATCTAAGATTGCTTCACACTGTGCTCTAACTTTCCACTTGTGTGAACTTGGGCGAGTTATTTAACCCCTCTCAGCCTCAGTTTCCTTGTCTGTATGGTGCGGATGGGCGTTACCCAAAGGGGTCATTTTGCAGTCAGTGAGAGGACACATTTTGGATGCTTAGGGCAGGGCTTCAAACGGGCTGGCTGATACCCTTCCTGCCACACCATCACGGCCATCACTCTCACCTGGAGAGTGAAGCTTCTAAACTCTTGCAGATGAGGGTAGAGAAGAATGAGAGTGGGCTTTTCTTCGGGTGTTTGTCTTTTGCATCTCCCTTGCTGGATGAGGTCCCTGCGAGGGTCTTCTGCAGGCTGCTTCTGAGCTGTGATGGGGCTGAGCAGAAGGTTCTGGGTGGTGGAGAAGCTGGGGCAGGATGGTCTCCTGATGAGCCCTGACACAGGGGGCTGTCCTCTGTCAGGAAGAGGCACACAGAGCACCAGGTGGTACTGACATTTTGGTTTCTGGTGCCCTGACTTCATGACTACGGGACAGGTCCTTTCTCCCAGGACACTGGGTGATTCATCCCCACAGGCACAGAAGGACAGACTGTTCCTTAGGAATCCAAAGAACACAATGGCATGTGTTTGTGTGTGTTAATTCTCCCATTCAGTCTCAGACAGTCTTTCTGACTTTGGCCAATGGAGAGAGCGAGCACAGGAGCTGGCTTAGCGGGATGTGTGTGTGTGTGTGTGTGTGTGTGTGTGTGTGTGTGTTTGCTTTGCCCCCTCTTTCCTGTGCAGGCTGATGGGTCTGGAGCTCAGAGAGGGCCTAGGGGTCCACAGACCTTGGCACAAGGGCACAGGGCCCCACAAAGCAGGACTGTAATCCTGGTTCTACCACATGAACCAGTGACCTGGGAAAGTCACCTGGGTTTCTTGGCCTCTACACTATCCTGTGGCTGTGTGTCAGGTACCCTGCTTGGCTGGGTAGATGCTTAGCACACCTTCTCCCTCACCTCAACCCCCTGGTGATGAGGAACAGTCTGTGTCTGTGTGCCATCACTTCCATTTCCTGACACTGGGGTCTTTGCCCCAGTAAGGCTGGGCACAGCAAAGGCAGGGACCTACTCAGGCTGAACTTCAGGGCAAGGCCAGGTACAGGCCATGAAGATGACTCCTACGTGCTGTCAGGGAGTGACTCAGGCTGGGTGATGTCAGAGGGAGGAGCCACCTGGGATGAGGCTGGGGTTGCTCAGTGCCATCGTGGTGAGCATGCTGTCCTGGGAGGTCACATGTCTGTGGCCCTGTATGTAGCTCTGAGTAGAATAGTCAGACACCTGGGTGGCCTTTCCTCTTGGACTGAGGGGTGGGCCATTCAAATTAAAAACTATATTTTGTAAGGCAGCCAGAGAAAGAAATGAGACTCATCCAATTCATGGACCTCCCAGGGACATTGTAGGTTGTCTTGGTTACTTTTCTCTCATTGCTGGGACAAAATACCTGATGCCCAAAATTAAGGAAGGAAAGGTTTATTTCGCTTATAGTTTGTGGAGGTTTTAGTCCATACTTGGCAGGTTACAAGGCAGAGTGGCACATGGCAGAGGGCTACAGCTCATGGCGGCAGAACACAGCAAAAGCAACAACCACCAAAAGGGAGGAATGGCCTCAAGCAGCCTCTTTCTCTCCCTTACATATGCAAACTATCCACCCCAGGGCGGGTGGAGCTGTCACACCCATAATCAATCAAACTCTAAAAGCCTGCACCATGACCGCATGAGGCTTTGGGGGGACACCCAGACACAAACCAAAACATAGGTACAGGCAAGCTGGGTATCCAGCCTCTGCCACCAGGTTAAACCCTATGTCTCATGTGCTGAGCATTACTTCCTGCCTTGGACCTGTGCAGATTCACACAGTAATTCTGCTCCTCAGGGGCTGGTAGAGCTGCTCTCTCCATCAGAGGCCAGGACTGCAGGCCTGGTAGAGGGGGAGTTGGTAGAGCATGCCCTTGAACCTGAGTGTGGGGGCAGAGGAGACACTGCCTGGCTTGGCCTATTTTTAGAGGGAGCCATGTGGGTCAGACAATAAAGATTGTGACCCCACAATGGGGCATTGTGGCTTCAGGGCCCAGCAGATGACCAGTGGCCCCATGGGGGCTGGGGCTGGGGTTGGGCCTGGTCATTGATGAATTCGGTTGTGGATTTTTCCAGTGCTTGTTGTGATGGGGTAAGAAATGTTGGTCCCGGAGGGCAGGAGATGGCAAACTGGTGAGCTCTGTATTCCAGGTGACTTGGCTTTGGGGTCTCAGAGGACCCTGTGCTGAGGGCGAGGGTTTTCTCCAAACTGTGCCTGTGTGTCAGCACCATTGTTCTGGACATACTTCATAGGTCTCTTCCTGTTCTCTGAAGGTGCAGCATGGCCCTGGCCTTGCGTGCTTCAGGGGTTTCTAGAATAGGGCCAGGACTCCCACTTACCTCTGCCCAGCTTGCGGAAATGTGGTTGTTGGTGAAATAGGATACTAATCGCAGATGTGTTTTTCTCTTCTTGGATCAGGCTCTCACTTGGGAGCCACTGGCTTTATGGGATTTGAGAGCCTCCTTTGGCCCTTCCCGCCAGCCCCCACTAGGGTAAGTCCTCTCAGAGAGCCTGCCCTCCGAGGGGACTCCTACCACTGCCCACTGGCTTGTGAGTTTTTAACCACACATCTCTCTGGGAAATTAGAGAGCCTGGCATTTAGTAGGTGCCTAATAAATGTTTGTTGGATAAAATAAAACTGGCCTGTCAGAGGTAGGAAGTAGTAACAGGTGATATCTGGACAGTATGGGTGTGGCTAGTCACTCTGACTGATAAGAGATGATTGGCTCGGGTCCTGGTGCAGCTGCCTGATGTGTTCCATAGGTCTCCAGTATTTTCAGGAGGTGGACAAACACCAGGCTTCTCCCGAGTTACAGATGGAGTGACTGGCCCAAGCCCATGGGGCCTTTGGCTGGGTGGTCACCTGTCCCTTCTCATGTGAGGTGGATTCAGGGAGTAGGTTCCTGGCACTGGTGTGTTCCCTGTCCCACTCCCACACCTCATCTGCTCTCAAGAGCTAACCAGAGTGGAGTGGTCCCTGCAGATGTAGGTGTGGGTTGACATTTTTGACCCTGCCTTGTGTGAGGAGAGGAGACACATGGGACCACTGAGGGTAGCTGTCTGAGAGTGCCACTCCTGTCACTTGCCTGTGTGGCTCTGACTGCAGCTTCCTGCCCCTGGACCAGAGTGAGTCACATGGGTTTTTGGGCTCTTAGAAGGGTGAAGGGCCTGGAAAGAAGTGGCTCAGCATTTACAGCAACAGGAAAGCCTCTGTGTCCCCTCTGGAGGGATGACATGTTGGAGGAAAGTCACTGCCCTCAGACACTCTAGAGAGACTGTGAGTGGGGTCTGCAGGAGCTTCTGGGTGACTCTGAGGGTCAGGAACCCAAGACAAGGAGGGTCCAAGGTCGAGGAGAAAGTGATTGATTGGGAAAGGTCCTTGACTGTCATCATTTTGGACAGTTTGGGTGACACCTGCAAGGGAAAGGGGGGTCTAGGCCTGAGTTGAGGTAGCTACAACCAAGATGAGGGACTTCTTTCTTTTAGGATGGGAGAAAGGTGAGTGTGACCTCCACACTTTGGGAGAGCCTTCAGGGCTTTGGTACCAGTGTGTGGGTGGGAGTGACTGGCTGTGTGAGCCAGCTTGAGGATGCAGGCTGGGGAATTGTTCTTAACCCGGGGAGGAGCCACCTCACCCTCCGAGAAGGAGACAGAAGGGAGGAGAGATACGGTGTCTAACCCAGATGGTATATATGGGGTGAGAAGTGGTTGGCCCAGTTGACTGAAAATCTCAGGTGGTAGATACCATCCCTGAGACCTCCTTTCTCTCTTTTCTGTCTTCTGAGCTGGCTGGATTTTCTCTAGGCAGGCTCTTGCCTCACAGTGACAATATGGCTGCCACTATCCAACCCTGGGTCCCCACCTTGCCAGGTCAAGTCCATTCTGCCCCCAGTAGCCAGAAGTGAGTGACGAGGGCTCTGAGTGGCCTCCCTGCACTCCCTGAAGTTGGGAGGTGAGACACAAGAACTAGTTTCAGCCTGTGGAATCTGAGGGAGAGCCAAGCGCCCACACTCCTGCTAGGACCGAGGGTGAGGGACAGATTCCCAAAGGACACTGGAGGCTCTTCTTGGAGTAGGACATGCACTCCAAGCACCCTGCATCCTCAGCTGTCCATCGCAGGGCTGATGAGCTGTGAGTTAGGTGGTGTGAGAGAAGGTGGCTCATTCTTTACTTCCACTCACACCTCTAAGGCCTCGCTTTGTGAACAGAGGAGACAGAGCTTTTGCAGAGGGGGCCCTGGGGTACTCTGGTGCTGTAGCTTTGTGAAGTGATGGTGCCATCCTCTCTGGGCCTCCCCCTGCCTCCTGGTGGGGCCCTTCTCCATTTCCTCCCTCCTTCCTTTTTCTGGATGCCCTTTCTGGCCAGAAAGACCTGCTGCCTAGAACTCTGGGCTCCCTGTGTACTTGGAACATCCTCATAGCATACGCAGCCCACCTGACAGGCCTCTGTGTGCTCTCTCCCCAGGAGCAGGACATCGAGACCTTACATGGCTCCCTGCACATCACCTTATGTGGGACCCCCAAGGGCAACCGGCCTGTCATCCTCACATACCATGACATCGGCATGAACCGTGAGTTCCCTGGAGCCCCGGGTCCCAGAGGCAGAGAGAAAAACCAGCTGGAAAGGGCTGGTCCCTTTTGGGATCTCTTGAAACTGTCCCAGTGCGGATTCTTGCTGTAGTCTGGAGAAGCCAGAGATGTGCCATGTTGGGTGTGTCATCATGGAGTTGTGCAGCCACCAAAACAGGCATTTTAGAATATTTTACACAGAAAGAAATCCTGTACCCTTTGCTCTGATGTTGACCACTCATCTACTTTTTGCCTCTATGGATTTGTCTGTTGTAGACCTTTCCATAAATGGAATCATATAATATGTCAGCTTTTATAATTGGTTTCCTTTACAACTTTTCACTCTGCATCCATGCTGGACCCTGGGTCGGTCCTTCAAGCCCCACTCCACAGTACTATTCCATTGTAGGGTGCACCTCACTTTGTCCATCCACTCTCAAGCTCAAGGACCCTTGGGTTGTTTCCACTTTTTGGCTGTTATGAATAGTGCTGTATAACTATTTAGACACTAAATTCTTTTGTTTGTTTGTTTTTGTTTTTCTCTGGTACCGGGAACCGAACTCATGACCTTGCGCTTGCCAGGCAGGCGCTTTTGCCACTGAGCTAAATCCCCAGCCCCTAGACACTAAATTCTTAACTGCCTAGTGCCTTGGTTTTTACAAGGGGACTGGAATAGATCTACCTACTGCTAGAGACACCCAGAGTACAGGAGAGTCTTCCTGTGGTGAATCAGGAGGCACTTCTTCATGAACATGAGAATTGCCAGGCTAGAGGTCTGTGTTATTTACATTTTTCCTACACTTATTAATACCTTGAGTGGGGATGATGTCAGTGACCGGAAACCACTTTCATTCCCAACTTCTTGTATCTCACATCTTGCCTATCTGTCCCTTGTATGCACTACATACCAGTTCCCATGCTAGGTACTTTCTAGACTTTGTCCTGTGTCATTGGACTCTGGTGAGGAGCTGGAGTCAATCACGTAAAGTGGCTCCTCCTTACTATTTTAGAAAGGCCATTGTGAATTGCAGCAGATTAAATGCTGTAGTGAAAGACTCAGGGCTGTGGCTTAACACAATAGCTGCTTTTCCTTGCTTGTGTAAATTCAGTGAGTATTGAATGGTATTTATTCAGTGTGGTGATTCAGGGACCCAGGTACTTCTGCCATTTCCTGGCTCCTCACAGGCTTCTGTTGCTCCTCTGTATCTAAAAGGTTGATGGGAAAAGAGAGAAATGCAGAGGATTGGCTGCAGATATGTGGAGAAAATGGTGACATCACATCCTATTGGTCAAAACCCAGTCATGTGACTGTCACTAGTTACCAGGGAACCTGGAAAACGTAGTCCAGTGGTTTGCACAGGAGGAAAAGGTGAAAGATTTGGTGACCAACAACTGGCCATTCTTGCCTCAGGCCCTCCACAAGTGGCAGATTTATCTAGGACATTCTTAGGTGGTTCATGCTTTATCTCCCATGTTCCTCCTTGTTTGAAAACTTTCTGTACTTTGGCCAATACCCCAGATATGATGGCCTAGGGGACCTAGTGAGAGAGTGGAAACAGACCACCCATCCACAAGTCAGCCAAGGCTGGGAAGGGGCGGGAGCTAGACTGGGAGTCCTCCCAGCACCAGTGCAAAACCAATCAATGTGCGTGGCCACACAGCCACCCAACACCCACTGTTTCCTCGCCTAACTTCTTTCTCACCCTCTCCTGGCCTGTTCTCCAGACAAAACCTGCTACAACCCCCTCTTCAACTCTGAGGACATGCAAGAGATCACACAGCACTTTGCTGTGTGCCACGTGGATGCCCCCGGGCAGCAGGATGGTGCTCCCTCCTTCCCAGCAGGGTAAGAGTGACGTGGTTACTTGTGCTGCAGGAGCCATGCAAGGGGAGATGAGGTGGGGAGGCACCAAGCTCACTTTAAAAAGTGTTTCTTAATTAGGGTAAAATTTTACTATTTCATATAATTTAGCATCTTAACCACTTTGAAGCTTACTGTTCTGGTTCTCTGGCATTAAGTGAGTTCAGACATTGCTGTGGAGCCATCTCCTGGATGTCTTAATCACCCTCCCCCACCACTGAAACCGCACTCATTAAACTCTCCTCTCTGGTGAGGCTGGCTTTATGACAGGTGCGTTCTGCCTGTGCAGGAGCGATAGAAGAGAGAGCCTTGGAGGAGAAAAGCTTCAGAAATTTAGAAGAAAGAGAGGGAGGGAGATAACACCACTATTGCACCTACTACAGGCCAGGCTTCAGTATTTTTATGTCAATGTCATTGTCATCTACTTGATAACTGGTGCTGCTGGCTCCATTTCCTAGAGGAAGTTGAGACACAAGGGTTTCACCACCTTGCTCAAGGGTACGCAGCTGGAAGTGGGGAGTGGGCTTTTGCTTCACTCTGCTGCTGACTCTAAGACTGATGTCCCTTTGGAGCATGAGGCTGCCTTGCTCCCACGTGTGTATTTCCTTGTCTTCAGTGTGGATGATGTGGCATTTCCATTTCCCACAGGCAGCTGTGATGAGGGCAGCCTATTGACCCCAGCAGCACTGCCTGGGGGAGCAGCCTTCAGAGATGCCCCCAGCATGCCCACGCTGCAGTGCACCAGGCCAGGCGGGCTGTCCCTGGGTGTACAGGCTTCCAGGAGGGCCCTTGGCTCTTTTATAGCTGGATATTTTTTTTTGGAGTCATTCTTAATTATTAACCTTTATCAGTGAAGGAAGGAAGGGACATTCAACCGCAGGAGGCCAGAAGCAGAGGTAATGAGCTTATTAAAACAGTGTGATAGAGTTAACAGTTAACCAGAAGCTAAAGCCCTGGAGTCCATCAGTAAGTCAGTCCTGGCTGGGACCAAATGTTTGAAAGACTCAGAGTGGAACAGAAGCTCTTAGTTCCCACTGCCTGGCCTCAGGAATTTTAACTCCCTTATCTAGGGAGCAGGATGCAGGCTAATGCAGCCAGGTAACCCAGGGTGCAGTGGTGGGAGCCAGTGTTGGACGGAGCTTGGCTTGCTCCTGCCCTGGAGCCAGGCTTGAGGGTCTCCCAGGCCCTGTAAGGGTGACATCCCTCAATCCTGAGGCTGAGTCAACAGGGTGGGGAGTCAGGACCCCTGGCTCATGCCTCGGCTCTGCAGTCTGCTCCTTGCGCAGGAATTGATCCCTCCTTGCCATGCAACTGGCCCTGGGTTGGGGAGAGCAGAGGAGCCCCTGAAGGTAGGTGGCTCCCCAGTACCACACATGGGGAGCTGCTGGCTAGGCACTGAGCCCTGGGTACTTTGAAGGAGCCTGACATTTTGGCCCCTTCTCTCCTCAGGCTCTCTTCAGATTGGTAGAGTCATAATATCCAGCTCTTCCTGGCTCTTTCCAGGGCTTCTGCTCATGCTGATCCCTTCCTCTGCTTCCTCCTTGGGCTTCCACACCCCGCAGCGTCACTTCCTCTAAAAGACCTTCCTGACCCCTTGGGCAGAACCATCTCCCTTTTGTGGTGTCCCCTCTCAGTCCCCTGGTGTCACTTCCTAGCCTCTATCATGGTCATGTTCACTCATTTCTGCTGACCTACCAGCCTGCTCCTGATCTGAACCACGTCTGCAGGGCCACTTGGTTCCCTCTTCAAGAGCCTGCGTGCATGGGGCCATAGTTTCTGTGTTGATGCAATTCAGGGTCCTGTTTCCTGTCCCTGAGGTCAGATTGTGAAATGCATCCAGGTCCGGAATCAGGCTTAAGGGTCTCCCAGGCCCTGCAAGGGTGACATCTTTCAATTCTGGGGTTGGTTCAGCAGGGCAGGAATCAGGACCCCTGGCTAGTGCCTCTGCGACTGCCATCGCCATCCTAGCCCCGCAGCCAGAGAGAAGACAGCTGCGCCATCCTCTGAGGTCTTGTATAGCCACATGACTCATTCTCAGCCTCAGTGGTGTTTATGAACTTGGTGCTGGGGAGCCATAGCAGCCTCACAGTCTGTATGAGACTTGAATGAGCTTTGAATCCCTTCATGGGGGCCTCTTCCACGGGGCCTTGAGCAGCGGCAGCAGTGGATCCACAGTCACTTTATAAAATGGAGGAGGGGATTAGGATGTGAGTGGCCCCGTGCAGCAGATGAGCAGGGTGAGCTAGTGTTTCTGTGTGCTGTGCTCGTGTTCCTGTTTCTATGTGCAACATAGCGTAGAAGGGCCAGGCTGGGCAGTCAGGGGCAGGGCATGCCAGTCTGCATCGCCTGTGTTGATGGGGACCCGACCTCTCACTGGCTGCTTCTCCATGTCTTCCCAGGTACATGTACCCCTCCATGGATCAGCTGGCTGAGATGCTTCCTGGAGTCCTTCGTCAGTTTGGGTAAGTATGCGGGACAGGTGGCTTCTGGCCTCCCTGTCTCCTGGCTGTCACCAGGCTGGTCCCTGGTTCACAGATTAGGGTTTAAGGATGGGGCCAGAGGAGATCACCGCAGTGTGCTCCCTGCCCCCTGCCCTTCCCAACCCTCGCTCCATGTTCCTCCCCAACTTCAGCGTTTCTTCTTAAGTGGCCACGTCATGTGATGGCAGCCACCCCTACCCTGTCTTCACCTTGTTGTTCCTCAATCCCCTTCCTTCCTCATGGGATGTTCTGGAATAGAGCTGCCAATACCTCAGCTCTTCCCTTCAGACCCTCAGTTCGCCTCTGGATTGAACCCAGAGCCTTTGAGTTGAATTACATCCCCAGCCCATTTTTATTTTTTATTTTGAGAAAGCGCCTTGCAGATTCACTAAGTTGCCCAGGCTGGGTTCAAACTCGCTGTCCTCCTGCCTCAGTCCCATGGAGCCTTTCCCATTAGGCAGATAACTCCTCACAGTTCTGGCCTGGTTGATTCAATTCCAAGACTGAAAATTAAATTACAGCTTGGGAGTGGGAAGAAGCGATTCCTTAATGGGCCTTCCTGTAAAAAGCAGGAATTAAGAGCTCTGGCAGCAGGGCAAGGAAAGTGAGGAGAAGGCCGAGTTCCTCCAAGGTCAAGGTCTCTGGTCCATGCTGAGTCGCATAGGCCGGGGGTTGTCCAGGGCATGAGCAGCTTCGTGCTCCGCTTAGCCTAGCTTGTCACCCACGCAGTGAGGAGCAAGGCAGATGTGGCGGGACGAGGCAAGGTGCGAGTTCTAGTGTCTCCCCGTGACGTGACTTCTCCATTCCTTCCAGGCTGAAGAGTGTCATCGGCATGGGCACAGGCGCTGGCGCCTATATCCTCACCCGCTTTGCTGTAAGTTCAAAATTGCATTTAGAGATCTGAAAAAGCATCTAGAAGCCCAAAAGAGGAAAAGCAAGGAGCGCTTCCATTTCCTGAGGGAGAGCAGGCTGGGAGCCCCAGTGACGTGTGCCCACAGCAGCCTGCGGGAGTGGGCACAAGTGTGTGCAAATGTGTGTGGCATGTGTTCCCATGCTCATGTGCCCGCAGCTTTGCCTTCTCCCTCACTAAAATATAGCACTGGACACACTGTCTGACCCAGCCTGGCCCTCGGCAGTCAGGGTGGACAGCTTTGTCACAGCTGGTTTTTATGCTCTTGAACCCTGATGATTCCAAATTCAACTCAGAAACCTGTGTTGTTCAATGACACGGTCGTTGCTGTTCTCACAGTGGACCCTAGTCGGAGGCTTCAGGTTCTTTGTTTCTTACCAGACTTCGCTCTGAATGCCAGAGCACTCACTGCATTCAGCTGCAGTGTTGTGATGCGCTGGTCAGGTTTGTGCGTTGCTGCAGGTTAGGGATGCCGAGTGCATGCTCTGGCCCAGCATTTCCGCTCAGAGCAGATGAATAAAAGGTTACAGCTGCATCCTAGGGGTCTCTGTGTTTCCTGGAAGTAACAAAGCAGCATCGAGCATGTGTGCACCCATCTAATTGTGCAGGGGATGAGGTGGATCCATGAGACAGCTGGGGAGGACAGCTGAGGCCCAGCAAGGCGGCAGAGCTTGCTCCGGGCAGGTCTCCAGAGTGTGCTCCTTGCTGTTCCTCCTGTGCTTCCTCATTCTGCTCTCTGGAGGCGCTTTGAAGGATCTGGAAGCCCAGTGTTGCATGGTGGAGTTTGGAGGTCTTCATGACCTTGAGCATGGTGGCCCACTGTGGCCCCACCCTGGCCCTTTTTCTGTTCTTCTCCCAAGTTTCCCTGTGATGGGAAGTTCCTAGGGTTTCGCATTCCTGTCTGTCTGTGCATCTGACCTTGTGTCTCCAACCCCAGCTGAACAACCCTGAGATGGTAGAAGGCCTCGTCCTCATCAACGTGAACCCTTGTGCAGAAGGCTGGATGGACTGGGCTGCTACCAAGGTGAGGCCAGGGGCAGGGTCCTTGCGTGTGGATGTGGATCGAGGGACAGGCACACAGCCCTGGGGCTCCCCTTGGCTCCACTCCTCCTTTACTCCTACTGCCCAGCCCAGTAAACAAAGCATCTTTCCTCTGTTCCACTGTAGGCTGCTCAGAATGTTTAGGTGAGATTTTGCTGCTTACACCACTGATGTCACAGGGATCACTTAGATTCCTGAGTATTTTCTGGGTGTCTACCATGTGCTGGACTTGTCCCTGAATACTGATGATCTCATTGAGTAAAACCCCATGAGATGAATAGGACAAAAGTCTCTCAGGAATCCTCACGTTGCTGATGAAAAATGAGTATGTTTTCAGTCCTGACTATGCCGCTGAGTTACCATAGTAACTAGCTCCCATGTTTGGGAGTTGCCTCGTCTGCCCTAGTTCCAGGCCGTATTGCTCTTTGTTACTCATTCCCACAGTCAGCCTAAGAGGTGGGGCTTTTTCTGAGCTTTACGCAGAGGAAGAAACCGAGGCTAAGGAAGCTGTCCAGGGTCACACAAAGATGGGCAACAAAACTGGACTAGACACACATCACTTTGACTCCAATGTCCATGGGCCTGTCTACCACTGGCTCTGGGCGGTTCTTCCTGGGTCAGAGACGGGCTACAGGGCAAAGAGCCTAGCTGCTGAGGAGGCACTGCCCAGCCGGGCTCCCGGGGCTCCTTGTTTATCTTTATAAATGATTATTATTTCTATTTTAATTTTTTTTCCCATCAACGCCCAGTGTTTGCCAAGGGGGCGGGAATCATTCCATTGGAAATAGGATGAAGCCTTTCAGGGTGGGGTGATCCAGCATCTCCTAGTGAATATGTTTTCTCCTGTTGGAAACAGCTGTGAGGGTGGAGGGCTTGGGGCACCACACCCACCCCTGCCCATCCCTGTTGTGGCACTCTGCTGTGTTCCTCCTTCGAGTGTTCCCCCCCAGAACCTGGAGCCCTGGCCTCCTGCCCACATGACATTCAGGAGCAGAGCACACTCCCCGTTTTTATTTGCTTTTCCAGCAAAGGAAGTGACATTCCAATCGGCCAGTTTGGCTCCTGAACAGATGTTCTGAACCAGGCATGGAGGGCTGGGGACACTGGCCCCTGGCTGCAGTGGAGCCTGAGGCATGCTGGGACTATATCTGTACCACGTCCTTGCTCTCCAGCCCAGCTGTGGAAAAAGACACCTGTGTGTCAGGCACAGGCATCAGATACTGTGACACCTATAGCATCCTCATGCAATCATCACCATGGCCCGTGACTCTGAAATTCTTGTCACCTGCAGTTACAGTGAGAGATCTGAGGCCCAGATGTCTCCTCTGGCCCAGTGCCACCCAACTGGGAGGTGGCAGTCAAGGGCCAGCCCCAGGCCCTACACCAAGAGCTTCTCCTGCACCAGTGCCAATTGATGCTGAAGTCAGTCAGCACATATTTCCGGAATTTGTGCTACAAAGAGCTCTTTTAGTGCACTTATGGAACTCCTATTACATATAGGCATTTATGCTGCTCCTGCTGTATACATAGGCTTGTTGGGGAGAAAGGGAGTAAGATAAAGTCATTAATGAATTTCATCAGTCCATAGGTATGTAGAAGGGAAACCGGCTTGAAGGGAGAAAGCTGCATGATGCATGAGGAGCTGCTGAGGGCTAAGCAGCCCCCGGGTGTGCACTGGGGGAGCTGAGGGCATTTAGAAGAGGGGTGCTGGGCCTCTCTGCTGAGGAACCGGGAGCTGTTGGAGTGGGTAAGCCAGGGGCCAGCTGGGTCTTGGTGCAGCCCAACCTGCCTTGCAACTCCTGGGCAGGGCCTCTGAGGAGGGAGACTTGGACCGAGACCCAGGCCAACCTGCCTGGGTGCGGGTGCCACAGGGGCCAGAGGCAGGAATGAGATCCCATTGAGGCAGGTCAGGTCCTCAGCTTTCCATCTCTGCAACCGATATGTGAAATCCTCACCTTTGCATTAGGAAAGGGTTATTTGGACTCACACTTTTGCAGGTTCCTATCCCTGCTCAGTTGGCTGTGTGCCATGGGCCTGTGGTGAAGGCAGCTCATCATGATGGGAACATGTGGCAGGCTAAAGCTGCTCACCTCATGGCTGGATAACAAAGTACAAACAGAAGTGACCAGGGTCCCACAGTCCCCTTGACCTGAAGACCTCCTGCTAGGCCTCATCTCCTAAGGCGTGCGCCGCCTCCCCAAAGTGCCGAGCTGGGAACCCAGGCTCTAACATATGGGCCCATTTGGGACATTCCAGATGCAAGCTCCAGCAGGGGTGTCCTCCAGAATGAAAGCCGGGGGCACAGAATGCCACTTTATCCCCAGGCAGTGGGGGTTGGCTGAGCTTGGCTCCCGGTGGTGGATCCTGGTTTCCGATACACTGGCTCTCTTCCCCGCAGATCTCTGGATGGACCCAGGCCCTGCCAGACATGGTGATGTCACACCTCTTTGGGAAGGTGAGTGGCCAACCTGGCACTGGGGTGTTCAGACCTTGTGGCTAACTGTGGTGCTTAGCAGGGAGTCTTGTGATTAGGGGGAGATGAACAAGACACAGTCAAGGGGGGGTCCTGTGCTGATGCCTGTGACACTGTGATAGGCTAGCAAGCCATTCACTCTGCCTTCTCCCTAAACATAGGTCCTCTTATTGAAGTCCAACACCTTGCACGTACTTTGACATAATTCGGTATATATCTGTAAAACCATCGCTAAAATCAAGATAATGGATATCTCCAGCACCCCCAAAGCTTCCTTGTACTCCTTGAGAATGCTCCCTTCTTCCTTCCTAGATACCTTCTGTGCTTCTTTCTGCTACTGCAGATCTCTTTGTAATTCCCAGTTTGAATATAAGGGCCTTGTGCAGTGTTCCTCTTTTTGGTCTGGCTTCTCCCACTCAGCTTCATTATTTTGAGGTCCCTCTGCGCTGTTGAGGGTTAGCCATAGCTCACTCCATTTCAGAGCCGAGCAGTGTTCAGGGGATGCTGTATCACAACTTTTCTTGTTCACCTGTATGCAGACCATGGGCTGTTCTCCATTGTGGAGTGTACAGATAAGGTCTGCAGCAAACCCCTCCCTGGGGTGAGCTGTGTGCTAGGTGCTGTCCTCATGGAGCCTGCTCAGCCCTGTGAGCCGTGCGATAAGCACTATTTGCATTCCCACTTTTGCACAAGGAATGAGGCCAACGCAGGCTGAGTGACCTGTGTGAGGTCTCACTGCGGGGAGAAGGGTCGTAAGGATTTGCACCAAGTCTGGAGCCAGAGTCCATGATGGTAGCTGCTGCGAGGCGCTGGTGCCTGGGCCTCGGCTCTCACTGGCTCTGAGGTGGGCTGTGCTTTGCAGAGCTGTCTTACCGTAGGGCCCTCCCTAGGCTGCAGGGCCAAGACTCTGCATGCTCCTGACAAGCTCTGGCCATTTTCTCTGCCTTTCACATCTCACCTGGGGCGGAGAGAGATTTGCAAAAGTTCAGAGCCTGTTTCCTTGAAGGAGATGTCAGGGGTAGCCTTGAAAGTCTGACCTGACTGCATTCCAAGTTCTTGGAGGCTGGGTGGGCAGACAGTGAGGTCCTCTGGTGCCCCCAAGTTTCTGCAGTTGTGTTCTGGTTAGAAATCCCACGATGATTCCTCAGATTATTTTCCCTAACTTTTTTCGTAATAGCCAGTTGGTCTCCTTGCTGCTTTCGTGACCATGGGCTGTTTTGAGGCGGCTCACCCTTGTTGTTGGCTCTGTTTGCTACCTCCACCCCTCCTCCCGGTGTCCCTGATCACACCAGGTCTTTGTGAGCCTGCCACTGTACAGAGCGGAGACAAAGCAAGCTCAAACCACATTCTAAAAGGCCCCCAGAGAGCAGGCGGGCTGAGGTCGACCTGCACAAAGGCTCTGGGGGCCCTGTGGGAACTGAGCTCTCCACTTCCCAGCAGCTTCCTGTTGCTTGAGTCGGTTTTGGCTTTCAAGCATAAAAAACATCAACTTTCTCCATTAAAAAATAATTGCTGACATTCGTATCTGATTTGGGCTGTTGGCAAAGGATTTTTGTGTGTACAGCCTCCTTAATCCTGTCAACATCCTCTTTGTATGAGGGACCTGAGGCCCAGAGAGGTCGTAGGATTAACCCACAGAAGGGGTGGCAGTGGGGCTGGGCTATCCATCCAGCAGCCCTTAGCCTACTTGTGACACTGTACCCAGGAGGCAGAGCCGTGCCCTCTGGGTGGGGCTTCTCCCCGCTTCCCACTGACTGGCACATGCCAGTCTGCCTTGGGCACTGCCATGGTACTGTCCCCAAACTTTCATCATGCTCCGTGACTGATTGTGTTACTTCAGAGAGCCAGGCCCCAGCACCGTAAAGAGCATTCTCTCTGCAGGAGGAGATGCAGAATAACGTGGAAGTGGTGCACACCTACCGCCAGCACATCCTTAATGACATGAACCCTGGCAACCTGCACCTGTTTATCAATGCTTACAACAGGTAAGGGGCTAGCAGGGCAGGCAGGGATGGTGGCACTGGGAAGAGGTGTAGGCCCTAGGTTTGAGCGGCAGATTGGTAGGACAGGTGCCTGGCAAGACCACTGGTGTATCAGTGGCTCCTGGTGTTTTGTGACCGCAGAACTGGACAGGAATGGCTGTAGTTAGGCTCTGCCGGTGGACAGTGAGTAGGTGCACATACTTGTGGGGGACCACAAGGGACAGCGGCAGTAAGCAGAGCAGTGCAGCACTAGTGGGTGGGAGGGGTCCCAGGAAGCTGCCTGGAAATAGTCTCTCCTGAATTCAGAAAGGGATGGGCTCAGGGGGCCCCTGGTGTCAGCCCAAGCTTCTGGGATCCTGCAGTGAGCTCACTCAGCCTGCGGACATAGCTCTGCCACACTCCCCATAAGGAGAGGCGTGGGCCTCAGAGGGGTGGTCTGGCCCACCTGATAATAACTTGATATCCAGGTATGCTAGTGTTTAGCACAGGGTCTGATGGCCATTTCCTCTCACATCCTTTGGTGTCTTAGCGTGGGCAGCACTGCTGAGGTTCTTGATGTAGCTGAAGTAGACTCTGAAGTTGGTTGACTCCCGACTGCTTACCAAGAACAGGAAGGAATTCTGGGGCTGGCAAGTGAGGGTGCCTGGGAGCCTAGCAGTGACCCCAAACCCCACGCTCTACCTCATCTCATGGAGGGCACGAGCAGTTATACTGGGAAGAGGTGCTATTGCTACTGCAGTCATTTCCTACTGGGGAAGCAAAGACTCAGAGAGGTTTGGTGATCTCCCCATGGTCACAAAACCAGGAAGTAGTGGAGCCTGATTTGAATCCTGCTTGTCTGGCTGCACACTGTGTGCAAAGGGCATCTGTTGGCAACTCGCACACAGTGGAGGGGGTGATGCAGACGTGTAGGGGAAGGTGGTCCTCTTGCTGTGCAGTGGGAAGCCAATGCGGGCCTGCCCCAGAGCTGGAGGGAGCTCAGGCCTGAGTTTGCAGAAGATCTTCAGCTGCTGTGTGGAGACTGTGCATTGGGGGGTGTTGAGGGTGGACTTAGGTCAAGAGTGACGGCCCCAGGCCATTGCGAGGGAGGTCCATCGGTCATGTGGGGAGATGTACAAACACCAGGGAGATGTAAGCACCCTTTGTGGTGAAGGACCATTTGTATCCCTGCAATAAAACAACAATGACAATACATTTGGGACACAAGGAGGCAGGCTCTGCTGGAAGAGCATGGGTCTTGCTGTCCCCTCACACTTCAGGGACCCAGGGAGGCTGTGTCGTCCCACAAGCCATGCGAGCTGGCATGGAGCATGGATCTGGGTGACTCTCCATTATGGCCAGTGGTGGATCTCTGGGGTTGGCTCGGTGGGAGAAGAGGCTGCCCAGGGCAGTGTCTGCTGATGCCAATGATGTGCTTGTCACCTACAGCCGACGGGACCTGGAGATTGAGCGGCCCATGCCTGGAACCCACACCGTGACGCTGCAGTGAGTCGCTTGTCCTTCCCCACCCTGCAGCCTATGGCCTGCTGAGTGAGGCCAGGGGTGGGACACTGTGGGCTCTGAGAACTGAGAACTGGCCGTCTGCTGCCTGGGCCAGCACAGTCTGTCGGCCTCGGCATCCCTCACCCTGTGTGGGCTGCGCCCTTGCCTAGCTGGAGCCCTGGATCTGGGCGATGTGGGAGGAGGCGCACTGACCGCACCCTCGACCCTTTCTGCAGCTCCACTGGGTCTGGAGCTGCGTTAGGCTTCACTGCACAAAGCCTGGCTGTGACTGCTGTGCGAGGAAAAGGCCGTTGCTCGCACGACAGCTGAGCGTCCGCAGCCCGTGACCGTGTCCTTGTGGCTCCTCGAGCGCACTGTATTGTCTGACCCCTGTGAATCTGGCAGGCTGTGTCCTTTGTTGTTCGTGCCATTCTTGTCTCTCTTGATTACCGACAAAGTCCTGCTCACACTTCCCGGATGAGAGAGGGGCCTTCAAATAAAAACATCAGGCCCAGAAATTCTCTGACTGAAGTTCAGACTGAGGCGTCAGTGACTACCAGCCCATTCATCCCAAGAGCAAAGCAGATGAGGGAGGAGGGGGAGTGGTGTAGAAGGAGCCAGAATAGCTTTCCTGGGGTCCCATGGCAGCCTGGCAGGTGTGAGAGCCTCGGAATGAGCCCCTGGTGCCTTCTCGCCCACCAGGTGCCCCGCTCTGCTGGTGGTTGGGGACAACTCTCCTGCTGTGGACACCGTGGTAAGTGGAGGCAAAGGGCCGGGCCGCCCTGCCCCATCTGTGCAGATGATACTGTTAACCCCCACACTGGCGCAGCCACACCCAGCTGCCCGCCCCTGCCCTGCCCTTCCCCCCACAATCTGCCTCTGCCCCCTCCGGCTCTTCCTCAGCGGGCTCCCCTGGCCATGCTCAGCGCCTGCCTGGCCAGGAGACACCGCCCCTTCCCTCTGGGGGCCAGACGCATCTCCCCAGCTGGTTTGGTACCCGGTTGGCTGGGAGGGAGAGAGGCAGCCAGGAGGCAGAACTCTGTGGTTCATCTCCCCCTGTATGCAGTGGAGGCAGAGAGAGGAGACTGTTTTCGTGGCCTCCCCACATTGGGGAGATGGGTGACCTAGGGAGCGCTGATCAGAGCCCCAGATGGGGCTACAGAGTAGACTTTGCAGATGTTCATGTAGTAAAGACCTGTAGTGTCTTAAGGAACCATGAGTTTCTTGAGTGACTCACTAGAGATAATCATGGGATGCATCCCTAGAGACATACTGCTCGAGCCAAAGGGGATAACAGTTCTACTTTAGGCATTTGAAACATCAGAGATGAGTTACGGATAATCTGGTTAATTCTGGATGCCACTTGTAAGAGGGCACTTCAGAATGAAGACAGACACTACCTTGGTGGGAGTGACTTACCATAAAGAGCAGTTGTTGGAACTGAGGTTGTTAAACTGTATGGTTCTGACAGCAGCTGACAAAATAAGGCCATACATTTAGCAGACATTTCTGGAATACCCTCTACCTTCCAGCTTTATAACAACCTTTAGAAAAGAGATTCAGTTCTCATTTAATGCACAGGGAAACTGAGGCCCAGAGAAATTATATAACTCACCCAGGGCCACGCAGCTGGTCACAGCAGACCTGGGATTTAAAGCCACCTCTGCCTGGCCCAGGAGCCCAGACTCTTTCCTCTGTGCCGAGGGAAGATCGCGGTTTCTGGTGCCAGTGCAGAGCAGGAGGGAAAGGCATGGAACTAACAGCTCTGCCCCTGCCCAGGTGGAGTGCAACTCGAAACTGGACCCCACGAAGACCACTCTGCTCAAGGTATGGGGTGAGCGCGGACGGTGGGCTTTGGTTTGCAGAAAGGCTGAGGTGCTGTGCGAAACTGGGCTCTTCCAGATGCAGGCAGAGCGGGTGGTCGGAGCTGGTGGAAGTAAGGGTTCACGTCTCTGTTTACAAACCCTGGCTAGGCGCTGGCTGCAGCTCAAGGCTGCAGAGATGAGTGATTCCCTCTCTAGGGTACTGGAGCTTATGGGCTGCTGGCCGTAGGGATCAGAAGGGCTGGACTGGGAGTGCTTGGCAAGGGCTCTGTGTCCCCAGGCTAAGGCCAGCATGCCTGCCAAGGGGCTCCAGCTATCCATGACAGCAAGCACCAGGCAGAGACCAGAGCACTGAGGCACTGCAGTGACCACAGAGCTAAAACAGCCAGCACCAAGCTTTTGGACTTCCGGCCTCCAGCACCAGGAGGGAGTGATTGCTGTTGTCTAAGCCACTAAGGCTGCAGGACTTCGTTATGGCGGTCCCTAAAGTTCAGCACTGAGAAGGCCCGAAGCCTAATCTTCCAGTCTCACAATCTCCTTTTGAAAGAATCTTAGAAAATGCATACCCTCCTTCTGCCCAAGGCTGCGGTCAGCCTGCACTTCCCCGGGGACAGTGTGTTCCTCTGTGTCTCCAGAGAATTCATTTTTTCTCTCTTTCTTTCCTTCTTTCTTCCTTCCTTCCTGCCTTCCTGCCTTTCTCTCTGTCTCTCTGTCTCTCTATCTCTCTCTCTCTCTTTCTTTTTCTTTCTTTCGTGCTGCTGGGGATGGAACTCAAGGCCTTCACACTGAACTATATCCCCAGCCCTTTTTATTTTTTTATTTTGAGAGAAGGTCTCACTAACTCACCAAGTTTGGGCTGGGCTCAAACAGGCAGTCTGTCTGCCTCAACCTCCCAGAGCGTTAAGATTTTGGGTGTGTGCCACCAACGCCTCTCTTCCCTTTTCTTTTATGGAAGTCAGTCATCAGATTTAGGGCCCACACTAATCTAGGCCTCCATTTTGACGACACCTGTAATGATCCGCTTTATTTCCAGTGAAGGTCTCCTTCAAGGTACCTGGAGCAGGAGCTGTGGTATGCTTGTTAGGGGGACACAGTTCACCCCATGGCCAAGAGTAGGTGGCCTCAGGTAGTCAGACAGCTGGTTTGATAACATCCAGTATCAGGTCCAGCTTCTGCCCGGGTCTCCCCAGATCCTACCAGGGCACCACCCAGCCCTGCTGAGTTGCATCCATGCTTAGAGCTTTGCCTGCATCCTTACAGAGCTGGAGGCTGCTGCTTCTGACCACATCCCTGTGGCTAGTGCTAAGGAGAAGGCCTTGAGCCCCTTGGGCTGTAAGATGGACACACCACACACCTTCTTCCTGGGCCTCCAGCCCTGTGTCCTTCTAGCCCCTCACCCCTTCCAGTGCTTCCTGGCCCCCTTCAGGATAAACACATGCACACACATGCCTGAATTGACTCCAGATAGATGGCAATGGCTTTAGTTTTGTGATTTAATAAAAACTTGGAAAGTCCCAGCATTTGCTAAGGACAGTCAGTGAGGAGCCCTATCAGGCCTGGACCCTTCCATCCACCAACTTCCTCTTGAGGGATTTCCAAAGAGAATAAGCAAACAGGGCCTTCTACATGGAAGCTTTGCAGGTCAGACAGATTCTAGCTACAATCTTGCATGTTTCTCTGGCTCTGTTTGGCCCAGTTTTTGCCTCTCAAATGGGACATTTGCATGCTCTTGGGGGAGGGCATGAAATGGCCTGTAAAGCCCAGCCCTGGGCTGACACTGTGGAAAGCTACAAGTAGATGTTGTCAGGGAGACAGTCTGACACTGAGATGCCCAACAGCAGCCTTGCTAGGTGGGGGAGGGGCGCCCCCCACCCACAGTTCACCTGTCACAGAGCAGGTCGCTGTGGCCCAGGGGTTAGGCACTAACCAGCTTCCCTCCCTCCTAGATGGCGGATTGTGGTGGCCTCCCACAGATCTCTCAGGTGAGTACCATCCACTCCCTGGTGGATGCCGCTCTGTGTGCCCCCAGTTACCTGCGTATGCCTCACTCCTTGCTGCTTCCCTATGACACCAGGTGATAGTTTGTGGGCATGTGAGGATTTACAAAATGTGCTTTCCCCCCAAGGCACACATGAGCCCCAGATAAGAACACATGGTAGAGTAGGTGGCCCTGGGGTTCACAGGCTTAAGGAAAGTGCCGAGTGGACACAGCTTGGTCACTGCAGATCAGAATGCAGGTCTCCCTAGGGACTGCAGGCTTCCACTGGAAACGGGACCCCCAGGACCTCAAGGCGGGATATGGAACCAAATCACATTTGCATGTGTGTGCGTGTGTGTGTGTTGCATCTGTGCATGTGTGTGCATACATGTCTGTGTGTACTGTGCACATAGATATATGTCAGTGATACAGCGCATTTGCGGCACCTGTCATAACTCACCTGTCATAATGCACCTCCCATAAACAGCCCACCCACCTATCAAATAGGTCTTTCCTCTATTTTCTTACCATTTTACATCAGAAGAGCTTTGAATGCTATCTTGAAATGGAATGTTCCATGAAGTGTTTGTCATCTTTTTCCCTCCAAACCCCGTCCCACCTCATTGCTTCTGTTCCCTACTTGAAATTAAAGCAGATCTCACACTGCCTGCGATTGAGGCTGTTTCTAAATGCCATGGCAGGAGTGAGCTGGCCCAGGCTTCCAGGAAACCGGTGGGGGAGGCCCAATTCCTATGCATGCTGCTGCTCCCTCCTTGAGCCCTCACAGGCTAGGGATATGTTAACAAACACCTGTCCCATCCTTGGTCACATTAGATCCTTGCAATTATTCTCAGAGGCAGGAAGAGCCAAGATTTGATCTCATTGTCATGGAAGAGGACACTGAGACTAGAATATGGGAGAGCTGACCCATGGGCACCCAGGGAAGCCCCATTGGGCCAGTGAGTCCCATTCTCAAGCCTGTCTTCCTGGTTCTGTCCCTTCTCTCTGAATCCCTGACGTGCTCCACTTGTCACTCTTTACATTGTCTAGAGGGCAGTTTTTGCATAACCAAATGTCATTTGCCTTCTTGTAGATTGGTGGGGATGTGGGGGGAGGGGGCCTCGGCCAGTGACTTCTCACTGTAGGAGAATGGGACCCAGGGCAATGGATATGAGCTCTGCAACTGATGGCAGATTGCAGGTGAGCTTGAGCATTCCTTCCTAGTCTAGGTTAAATGGACCATTTCAGAGGAAATGATCAGACCAAATGTGGTCTCAACATTCCCTCCTCATCTCAGTTAAAGTAACCAGTTAGTTAATCGAGCCTGTCTGTCCACCCAAGCATCCAGCCATCAGTTCTTTCCATCTTTTCCTGCTTTCATTTTCCTTTGCTCACCCAACTTTTCTTCTGCTATCAATCCTGTTTTATTTTTAGCCATCTAGTTATCTATGCAGAGTCTCACTCTTTCCTTCCTTCCTCCCACCTATCTTTTTTTTTTTGTATCCATTTATCCACTATCCATCATCCTTCTTCCCTCGCTCCTTCCTTCCTTCCTTCCGCCTATTCATTCATCCTTCTATTGAGGCTCACGGTGAATTACCTTGAGCATGTGGGTTCTGGGTTTGGAGGCCCTAGAACAAATCCACAGGAAGCACCCATGTTTAGCTGAGGATCTTGAGTGGGTAATATTACCCTCTGACTCTGTCTGCTGTGCCATGTACACACAGTAGCATAAATTTCACACTGTGCTTGGTGGGAGAAGATGAAATGATGCTGTGTTGTGGAGCCCTTGGTAGGCCGAGCAGCTCATGACGCTACTATGGCTCTTGTGTAGATGTGGGGAGCAGTGCTGTATCCAGCATGGTCCCCAGAAGCATTCAGCAATTAGTGTGACATTGCCCTGTCTTACAGGCCAGGAAACTAGTTCACATGGTCATGTGACTTATCCCAGTACCTACAGCTATGAAGTGACTTTGAACTCTTTCTCCCTGGCCAAAGCTAATGTTAGTCCTGTAATGGGCCCAGGGTTTTATCTGTCTTAGTTACTTTTCTCTCATTGCTGAGACAAAATACCTGATATCCAAAGTTAAATGGGCTCACAGTTTGTAAAGGTTCTGGTCCACAATCGGCTGGCTCCAAGGCAGGGTAGCTTGGCAGAGAAGAACAGTTCATAGCAGGCAGGATGTAGCAAAGCAACAGGAGACCTTAACATCTTTCTGCCCCTTTGACTGCTGGGATTAAGTTGGTGCCAGACCAATCAGAATCCCAGCATCTCACACTCTAGCTTCAGCCACCTGTGGAAAAGCCCCACCTATGACCACATGAGACTTTGGAAGGACATCTAGAAACAACTGTAACGTTATCTTTGCTTTTGTCTTCTACTATCAACACATGGCCTTTGCTCATCTCAGGCAAAGCTCCGGCATGAAGATGACCAAAGCCCCTACTGAGGTGGCCTGTGGCAATCTAGAACTCCCACTGCTGACTATACTTTCTCTCTTCTCTCTCACAGCCAGCCAAGCTCGCTGAGGCCTTCAAGTACTTCGTGCAGGGCATGGGATACAGTGAGTATGGTGTCTCCCAGCATGTGGTGGGCTGGGAAAGAGGGAGAAGGCAAATGCCATGCCCTAGTGGGGATTGGGTGAGAATTCTGTATCACACTGGCCAGTTTCCGAGTTCTGAACATTGAACAGGGCAGAGAAAGAAATGTTGCCATCATGCGCGACAATGATGGGAAGCATCTGAGAAATGCTTCTGTAGTCAGTTTCACAGTTAGGTGAACGTGATACGGTGTCTTGACAAAGCCCCAGGCAGCCATGAGGTCATTGGGCATCACTAAGCAGTATAGTCTTTTTTTTATGGAAAAAAAGGTAAAACAAAATTTCATAACAGAATAATAGGAGAATAACAATCATTAAATACATTACATTGCATATTGGTTTTTTCTTTTTGGCACTGGAACTCAAACTCGACCTCGTGCTTGCCAGGCAAGACACTGCGCTGCTGAGCTATATCCCTAACCCAACACTGCATATCAGAGTACAAGATATGGGCATAAAAATTTCTCCGATCGATATTAGCAAATCCCTTCCTTTTCAGTGAACTAAGAGACGCTAACTATCTTGAGTTTTTTTCCTTTTCCCTTCCTTCCTTTCTTCTTTCCCCCATCCTAGTTCCTTTTTTCTTTTGAACAATTTTCCCATTTTCCTTTTGAACTATTTCTTTCCTTTTGAGCAGTTTCTTCCCATTTCACAGTATGTTTTGTACACTTTAGACCTTATTTACTTTTTCAGTTTCTCACACCAGGGAGACACTACAATGTTTACATATGTAAGTCTGATTTATTTCACTTACAAGTATGGTCTCTAGTTGCATCCATTTACCTGTAAAGGTCTCCAGTTTATCCTTTTTCATGGCTGAGTACTACTCCTTTGTATAAAAACACTACATCTTTTTTTTAATCCGTTCTTCAGTCGATGGGCATTTGTGTTGTTTCCAAGATCTAGCTATGACAAATTGTGATAAGCAGTATAATGTTATGGCTCCATTGTCATATATACACACTCAGTCATTGACTGAAATGTCATTGTGTGGCACAGGCAAAGTTTGGTTGAACAGAAATTGCTTCACATCTGGAACTGTTTTAGGTTTAGGTGAGGACTATCCCTTTAAGTGCTTAAAAGACTATCCCTTTAAGATGGCAGACAACAAGCAATGAATGTCTGTTTAATTTGGATTGTATGCTTTCTTAAGAGCCTGCCCTTTGAACTGAAGATGATGAAGGTAGTGGTGGATGACTGATAAATCCTGTGTTCTTCACATTTGACCATCATAATAGTTTTACAAGATATTCTTGACCTCGCTGACACATGAGGACATTGTAACTTGGAGAGGTTTAGCAAGCTGAGAGAGGTGGTCTGTGGAATTTCTATGCTCTGCGTGAGTGGGTGATAAAGCTACTTAGACTCAAGACACTGCCAGTCTTTGCTAAATTATTAGATTCTGCAACAGATGGACAGATAAAAGCTTAATTCAGGAGCTTGCTACCCCTGCTTTATTTTTAGCTTTTGGGTAGTCACCCACATATAGCCACACTCCGAGTGGGGCACACAAGAGACAGTCTAAGCTCTTAGCCGAGGGGGAGCCCTGCCAGGGCTGGTGGCCATTAACGTGGCCCTCTCAGTTCTTCTTGCCCATGCTTAGAACTGTAATTCATGTGCCCTTCTTTGCCAGAAAGGCCTTGAACTTCTAATCTCAGTTTTTCCTGAAACCTTTCACCTCTGTAAGAGAGAACAGTGTATTTGACAAACCAGTGCAATTCTAAGCTCAGCCTCAGCCACGATTGGCTTCTAGTAGGGCCGGGAGCGAGGGAGTGTGATTTCCATGCTCGGCAGCATCCCTGTCCCCAGGTGCCCCCTGGCAGCCGAACACATTTGCTCACAGACCTCCTGCCCGTCTGCCTGCTTTCCCTGTGGGGACGGGGCAGGCAAAGGTCGAAAGCAGAGAGCCGCTGCGGCTCAGGCCTTGTTTACCTTGCAGGGCGTGAATCACGGCTCGTTTGCCTTGGATCTGACATGGATTTGGATTTCTGCTTCCACTGTGTATTCTGGGGAAGAAGGAAGTGAAAGCAAGGCCTTGCATTTTCCCTCAAATCAGCTTCTATTTCAGCACGCCCCCATCACACATAATTCAGCTTCTCACACCCAAAGCATCCTGCAGGTCTTAGAGAAGTAGCAGGTAGAGCTTAGGTCCCAGAGGGGTTGCCCAGAGGGGCAGAGAGGAACCATTCATCACCTGCTCACGATGATGGCCGTGTGACTGACCCTGTGTGTGTGTGCCTGGCATCGCTGGTGTTGGGGAAACTCCCAGATTTGGAGTGCAGAAGTACAGATTCAGGGAAAATATGTGAGCCACAGATGTGGGATTGATGATGATTCTTTCTCTGGATTCAATACTAGCTTTTTCAGGGGGGATTTACTATGTGGGAATATCTGCCATAGAAAACCAACCATCAGGCGACTGTGGACCCCTCTGTGGGCTCATCCATGTCGTCTGCTTTGGTGGCTGATGTGTGTTATTCAGCGCAGCCTTTGCAGACTACTTTAGCTGGGTGAGATTTTAGTCTTACTGCACTTCCGTGGCAAACTGTCACAAATGAGGTAGCTCAAAGCAAGAGGAACTCCTTGTACCTTTTAGGAGGCTGAAAGTGTGACATCAAGGTGTTGGCAGTGCTGTGCCCCCAGAAGGCTATAGGAAGATGCTTTTCTTGCCCCTTCCTGGCCTCTCCTGGAGGCAGCAATCAATCACTGGCCTCCCAAGCCTTGTAGCAGCCTTGCTTCAGTCTCTGCCTCCCTCTGCCCACCACCCTCTGCCCTATGTCTGTATCTCTGTCTTATTAAGGACGCCAGCCCTGGAATTATGGAGCACCCTAATCTACAATAGCCTCATCTTAGCTAATTATCTCTTCAAAGACCCTGTTGCTAAACAAGGTCATGTTCTGAGGTTCCGGGTGGGCATGAGTTCGGGACGGGACATAGTGCAATCCAGCAGAGGTGGGAAGGATCGTTAGTCATTCTGCTCATCAGCCACATGACTTCTGGGCACTTGAAGTCTTGGAGAAGATCTCAAAGGATGGCGAGCACCATTGCTAGTGTGGGGAGGCTGACAGGCTCTTTGAGGGAAACATAGACAACTAATGTCACTGCTGAACACTTGCCATGGGGCCCTTGTCTCCCACCTGTGAGGTGCAAGGGTCAGCCTGCCTGCCCTCGAACAACCTCCCTGCTCCATTGACATCTGCCAGCATGGGCAGTAGGCACGCTCATATGAGGAGTCATGTTATGTCCTTATTTCACAGATAGGGACATGGAGGCTCAGAGAGGCACTCTCCTAAAGTCACGTAGCTATGAAGCAAGTGGCAGAATTGAGTCTCACACCATGATTTGGGCTCAGGTCACTTGCTACAAGTCCTTCTCCCTTCTGGGCCTCACTATCCCACTGTGAGTGGACAGAGAAACAGGAACCTGTGGCTAGACTGCTGCAGGACTGAGATGGGGTAGGAAGGGCACTCTGCCAGGATAGGCCTGAAGGAAGGAAGGCAGTCAGGTGCGTATGATCTGTCCCTGGTAGCCATCTCCTGTCCCTTATATCCTGTCTTTTGTTTTTCCAGTGCCTTCCGCCAGCATGACCCGCCTGATGAGGTCCCGCACGGCCTCTGGCTCCAGCGCCACATCCCAAGAAGGGTCCCGCAGCCGCTCCCACACCAGCGAGGGCCCCCGCAGCCGCTCCCACACAAGTGAAGGACCCCGCAGCCGTTCCCACACCAGCGAGGGAGCCCACCTGGACATCACCCCCAACTCGGGAGCGAGCGGAAGCAACACTGGGCCCAAGTCCATGGAGGTGTCCTGCTAGGCAGCCTGTGCCAGCCACCCTGGACTCAGATCTCTGTAGCGGCCTCCCCTCCTGCCCTCCCTGCCCAGGCCTGCCACCCTGCGCTAACTCGGTATTAATCCAAAAGCTTATTTTGAGAGTGAACTCTGGCGATGATAGATTGGGTCTTTCCAAGGCCCCTTGTTGAACGAGGGTGAGGTGGCAGGGGACCAAAGGACAGAAGCAGCTCAGTGTCCTGTTTTCATTAACTAGTGGCCTGGTTGCCACTCTCTTACCTGCCCTCAGAGACACCAAACTGCCAAAAACAAGAAACACAGAGCAGTAAACACTTCCCCACCCTGGCCCGAGCATCCTGATGCACTGGCATCTTGCCAGCCACCTACTTCCTGTTTCCTGTCTGACTGAAGCCGAGCTGACTGGGTTCCTGGAAGTGAAACCATCTCTAACCAGGGAGGGCCAGAGCAGTGAACTGTGGGTACATCTTTTAAGTACATAAAACAGGAAGAGGGGAGAAAGGGGTAGAACTTAAGTGGAGGCTAGAAGTATTTGGAAAAACAAACCCAGGTAGTTCACTTTCTTCAAATCAGTTCTTAAATGTGGTGCATCTATGAGCTTTTGAGGGCCGGAGTACATGTGCCTGACATCCTTTAATGTACAGTGAAATCAGGCAGCATGCTCTGCCAGCTTTACAAAAAGATGGCTTTGGCAGACTTTGGTGTCACAGTATTCTCAGGCTTTAGCTCTGCTGTTGACCTCCTCCACCACCCCTACCTCCCACCCCACATCCTGAAGCGAGTGATTAGCTTTGTCCATGGGGAAGATCATTAGATCTATAGTTGCTTTCTTTGAAATGGAGGCAAACATTCCAGCCAGCTGTCCCAGGCCTTGATGAGTCTCCCTGCAGGGGAGCAGGCAAGGGGGCTGGGAATGGGATTTGGATGACCTGGCTAAGTGGTTTCCATGGAATCCAGTGTAATGATTTCAGTGGGCCCCACCCTTTTCCCCAGGAATCTTGTATGATTAAGTTAGATCCAGTCTCCCCTTGTTCACTTCTGAGGTTGACTTTGAACTTGATAGCTCAGTGTCTCTGACCCAAGACTATGATGGGGTTTTCAGAGAGAACTTTCTGGTCTAACGAGGGATGGGAATTTATGCGGGTCATGGGCTGAGAAAATGTGGGTTCTGGGATCTCTGTTCCATGGGGATGCCTTTCCCTGGGCTGCCTTCCTGCCCCTCTAACCTCCTGCTGACCGGGCTGCACCACTGACACTCCTGAACGATGCCTGCGCAGCTGTCGAGTTCCTGTACTACTGCCTTCTGATTTCCACTTTGGCTAACCTTGGATTTTCTTAGAGCGATTTTGATCAGAGTGAATCGAACATTTGTGCATCAGCCACTGGGGTTTGGTGATTCCCAGGACCCTAGAGTTGGTAGAAGGAAGTAGTCATGCCATCTAGGTGGCCGAGAGGCAATAATTCAGTTTACCTGCCTGTCATCACCTTGGAGGCGTCCTCTGACCTTGTGCCAAAAAGATCAGGGACCCAGGAGAGAGCGGCTGAGTGCGGACCAGAAGCTATTGTACAAGTCTTTCCAGAGGAGTTTCTTAATGAGATATTTGTATTTATTTCCAGACCAATAAATTTGTAACTTTGCAGTGCCTTGTTTCCTTTTCCTCTATCCGAGGGATGGTGTGGAGACACCAAGGTTTGGGAATGGGTCTCTGAATGAGAGCATTGCTTGTCCTGGACACCCACGGCCCTCACCACTGGATTTTTTTTTTTTTTTTAAATAAAAGGAGGAAAATATTAACAGATAGACAACATTTTACAAAATAGCAAAGGAGCAGTACAGACAGTACGGAGTTACAAACAGAGTAGTAGGGAGTTAACAATGCTTGTT